GGAATTTCTGCGGTCAAGTTTCACAAAGTTCGTGAAAAAACCCCTCTGCTCCCTTCTTTTCACCCTGTTCGGCCTGGTGATGTTCGAAACGTAAAGCAGTAGCCTTACAGTCAAATCTAGAATTTTCAATGCAAATAACATTATTATGAGATCTTAACCCATTGACGACGATGTGGACCACCGGGCCCCACACCCCTTACAAATTATATCCTTTCCAGATCTAGTTATTTTTTCTCAGTTCAGTATTTTTTCCAATTTTGCAACCTTGGAACCTGTAGACTTCGCCGTCCAGGAAGACGATCGTAGTTGTTTACAAAACAACTTTACATTTCGTAAATAATCACAAAACTTTCCCATGCCAAAAGTCTGTGCAAAATCGCGTCGTCCCACAGCGCCGCCACGCAATTTAATCGTCGTCGTAAATGCGCTTGTGTTTTTCCTCATGAATCTTTTCCAGAATAATTTGATTTTAATTAGATACAGCGCATTCATTTACTGTAACTTTAAGATACAATCACCATGAAAAGTGGCAGAGCTAGTTTTCTTTTGGAGTCAAACGTTGAAAACTATGAATGATATTATCATTTTCTTTCACTCATATCATTGCCTACTGAGGTAAAATGCATGGTGTCACTCACCTCGTCATGCATAAATGGGTCATCTTTTTGTACATCAAGTATGACTGGAGGTATAAAGAGATCGTTGCGGTCACATTCTCCACCTTTGAAAAGAGTAGTTCCTTTGGTAGAGTCCAAGAGCGAATTTATACGGCTAAAGTAAACTTTTGGAGTTCTCAAATGAAAAATATTGAAGAAAGGCATTACTCAAAATGTCGTTGGTTGATGATTCTACAATAGTCTTTGCTGGCTTGAATGTCATTCCCATAGAATTCGGTGATGTTTCGTCGCAGGGCGTCGATAAACTGCAAAAAAACTACGCATTTAAATACCATTAAAAATAGGGAGGTGATTCTTCACCTGTTCTTTGGATGCTGGAGACACCATAACGTAATCTGGAGCCAAGCAAGTCTGACCACAATTCATCCATTTGCCCCAAGCAACGCGACGAGCTGATAGTTCAATGTCTGCATCATCTTCTACAACCACGGGACTGGAAAAATTATTCTCTAATTTTGATTCTTTCATTGGATTGCGTCCAGAGTCCAAGCGTGCCGCAGCTGTGCCAGCGCCGTGCC